GCAAAGCGCATGAGTCGGACGATGGAGAATGTGTGCCCAAACCACCTCAATCGTCTTTCTTGGATGGCCTGAGATATCCTCGCGATACCGTCGCAGCGAGTGCAGATTGTCTTATTTGAGATGAAGTTGGTATACTTCACTGGAAGAATGGTATCCAGGCAGCGAATGGTCCCGTTTTCGATAATGGTCACCTGCCTTTAGTACTAGCAGCACTGTGCGGCTGCTGGGGGACCTAAAGGCAGAACGGGACGAATGAATCTCGTAACGCGATCGATGAACCCTCACCAATCAATGCTAATATTCCTGAGCTAGGACGGCAAAATAACCAGCCCTCGGCGCAGTGGGTTAGGGCGTTGGACTTCTAACTAACAAGGTCGCGGGTTCGAACCCCGGCTGTTGCACCACTTGGGGTTGGATATGGCTGGCTGACAACGGCTTGTCATAATAAATAATTCGCTACTATTGGCTGCGCCAGGTTGCGCTGGCGGCCAGCTTGACATGCAGGTCGGGACTTTTTGTCGTCCACATCTGTAAATCCGATTCTTGGTTCACCTGTCCAGGTGGGCTTTCTGTTTTTTCATCTCTGCAAGGATGTTGCATACTTGTTCCCGTAGATATTAATTATCTGCTCATCCACAGATAGTGGGTAACTAAACGATAAATACTTAAGCGTCTAAGTAGTAGTTGTACTTACGTCAGTACAATCATCAGGCTGAATCCCCTGTGGCAGGTAGAGGGCGCCTGTGAGAGAGCTGCTGTCTCAGACGGCAGCGACCACCGATGAAGTGTTGACTGCCTCCACCCAGGCCTGACAGAGGAAGAGATAAAGGTGACAGCTGTTTAAGTAGGTGAGAAGAGGACGGCTCCATCACTGGGACAATACCTTTATTCGCCTGACGTTTCGTCATCCGTTGCAGATTCAGCATCAGAGACATTGGGAGAAAACGGTAGCAGAAACGGAGCTATCGTTCAAGTGTTTTTCAATTGGTGCGTGGGACATTACCCGAGAGATGTGTGTGTCGTAGCCCTTGTTGGATCAGGATTCCCCGCCGTGTGTGTGTGTGTGTGGTAGCCTATTGTTGGATCAGGAGTCCCCGCCGGAACCCAAACTGGTAGTAGTTGGCAGATGGAGAAAAGCCGAGACCTCGACCGGTTTGAGCCAAGGGTCAGCGGTGTGTGAGTTGGGTGCCTGGTCGGGAACTGTAGGCGAATAGATGCTGACAGTCATGCGGAGAAGCGCCGCAGTCGGGTGTGGACAGGTCCAGCCGGTTATGGTACTGTCATAGGAGCATTAAGAAGCCACAGCAGACGCGTCTTCGTTGTTGTTGTTGTTGTACTAGCTTACTCCCTTAACCTAGTTTGCCAGCAATGCATGGTATAAAATAAGTAAGTGTAAAATAAGTATTTATCGTTTAGTTACCCACTATCTGTGGATGAGCAGATAATTAATATCTACGGGAACAAGTATGCAACATCCTTGCAGAGATGAAAAAACAGAAAGCCCACCTAGACAGGTGAACCAAGAGTCGGATTTACAGATGTAGATGTGTGGACAGGTCCAGCCGGTTATGGTACTGTCATAGGAGCATTAAGAAGCCACAGCAGACGCGTCTTCGTTGTTGTTGTTGTACTAGCTTACACCCTTAACCTAGTTTGCCAGCAATACATGGTATAAAATTTTTAAGAAAGATGAAGGGATAAAGATGAAGGAATATAGAAGAAAGAGGAAGGTATGAAATTTTTAAGAAAGATGTAGGGATTCGGCGACTTTGTCTGGGCGAAGCCATAGGTCCTCAGGCGTGAGGTCCTT